GCCGGTAGCTTGAAAATGGGAAGCTCTATAATGCTATATTAATGTATGCAGTGATCTATAGTGATACGTTTCTAAATAGTGTGGGAAAGTGTGAATGTGTTTTTCAGGTGGCCTTGTAGCCGTGGACAAAGCTTACCGTTCTAATCTGTTTAAATTGACATAAAGAGATTAAATGGACATAAAATTATCAACCGTTTTTGATTTTCTCACTTCTTTTTGTCTTTGTTGCACTTTCGTTGAAAGTGCATTTGCCAAAAATTTTGTCGGCGGGCGTGTTGGATTTGGAAGTGGGCGTGGCCCAAATGCGGACGTGGCGTTCTACCGTATAATTTGTGGGCGTGGCTAGTTACCGTAGTTACCAGTCCCCTGAGGCACTACTAATGAATGGTTGAATGACGTTTATTATGAATAACTATGAATATCCGTGATACTGACGATTACAGTACAATTAACTGAATATGGACGTAATATGGACAGAACACAATATGTTTAGAAGCCAATCGTTGGCTGATGACAATTCCAATACAATTAATTGAATAGTAACGTAATATGAATCGAACACGAGACAATCATGGACTGATCAACACATTGATTTGAATAGTTATAGAATAAGTTTAGATATAGATTCCGACCTCACTGACTCCTTTATCGGTTCTTGAACCACGTTCTTTTACGAGGTGCACATCTTCGTGCATTCTCACGTTCCCAAAAGATCATATTTGTAGATAACATCCTCTGATGCAATTTCTCAGCTTTCCTACAATGCTTTTGTTCTGGCTATTAGCATACAGTTTATTTGACATGAATATGCAATAAAGATGTTGCCTATCCCATAAGTACATCTTTTGTGTTTTGATTTGAATCATTCGTCGGAATGGGGCTTTGAAAATTCTCAAAGTACAATGTTTACATTAACAATAATGAACACTTTCGATACAGATGAATAAATTAAGAAGCTGTTAAGCTGTTCATTTGAATATATAATGAGTTCATTATTTCAGCCATATAAATGAAAGAATCTGTTGATGTATAATGTGTTCATTTGGATTTTTATAGGTTCTTGATCAGTCTTGCATGTTCAACCCGAAATACTTCAATTGCTTTTGCTTTTCACTGTTGAGATATCAACACTCTTGACTGTTGGAAGATATTCATTACTTCCAGTGTTGTGAACTGTTCATTGCCTCAGCCATATAGACGAAGAATCTGTTGATATAATTTATGGTATGGTATGCCTTAACGCTTTATCTACTTATTGCAGTCTGATTTTATCAATTCCTTTACGATTGCTTAAATCAACTGCTCACACGTTGAGACATACAGTTGTAACATACAAACATTCAAATTTTGGCAGCATACTCAAATGGCGGAAACTTTGAATATTCCTTAAGAATTTCGAATTTTCATTGAAATTGTTTCAGGAATTCTCCAAAATTTCTTCAGGAGATGATATTTTCATCAACATTTCTTATTAATGTTTTGTTTCGTCGTAAATTCGTTCGCTTGTTTATTTATTTAAATGCTTGAATACTTGTTCATGATATTGTTTATCTAATCATTCGTTTATTCATCTGTTGAAATTCCGTTTAATTATCTGTTTTGTTTGAAGTGATCAGTTGCATTGGACGAATATTATCGAAATGTCTTACTGCTGTACGCAGAAGGTTGATCAGGATGATTTGTTCAGTGATGGCGAGGATGAAGACTGGGATAATGAGATTGTAAGTGACTTTCATTCATTGTTTTAATATTTATCAGTTTTTTAAATATTGGTTCGTCTTATTTTTTGTGAAAGCTATTGTTAACCATTTTGTTTCATTCATTTAATCAGTGCATTTTTATCAATGTTTTAACGATATGTGCTAAATCGAAATGGAATTCTGATGAAGTGAATTATTTCATCTAGTTGGCTTATCTGGAATTCGTAGTGAACGGTGAACAGAAACGTTGTGAGGTGGTGAAAGGAGAGAATATAATCGGAAGAGATTTGGACGCGCAAAGTACGACAAAAATTATCATTGATGATTTGGTAAGTTTGCGCTTGTTAATTACATAGCGCCGTTTGCAAT